TTGGTTAATATTTATCACATGATGATCATGTGTTCCTGATTTCAGTTTTCGAAAAATAAATTTTTATTTTGATCAACCAATTGTTAACTGGACCATTTCGAAAATAGCGATAATATTCAAAAGAAGAATAAGAAAATTAATAAAAATATATATGACATAAAAAATGAACGGATTTTAGAAGATATAGAAAAAATTAATGACACGGAAAGTGTAGAGAATAGAAAAGATACAAATGATTTCGAAGAATCTGATAATATAAAAAATGGGGAAGGCTTTGAATATCTAAATGACATAGAAGATAAAAATATAAATTTGTGGAATTTTACAGATCCAGAAGATTCGGAGAATAATAATGAGAAAGGTAATGATAATGATGAGAATAATAATGAGAATGGTAATGATGATGATGATGATAATCATGATCATGGTGATAATGATAATCATGATGATGATAATAATAATGATAATAATGATAATGAAAATATGAATTTGTGAAATTTGCAAATTCAGAAGATTTGGAGAATAATAATATTGATGACAATAATGATGATAATTATGATAACAATAATAATGATAATGATGATAAAAGTAATAATTGTAATAACAATTATAATAATAATAACAAAAATAACAGCAATAACAATAATAACAAAACTAATAGTAACAACAACAATAGTAATAATACAAAAAAAGGTAGTGGCAGTAAAAAAGATAGAAAATTAAAAACTTTATCAATTATTCAAAAAAAGATCTATGTGAATATAAACAAGCAAATCTGAATGTTTTTAACAAAGAAATAGCAGAATTGTATGGAATTAACAAATCAATAGTTGGAGAAATTTTAAGATCAAAAGAAAAGTGGCTTTCAATTATTGAAAATTCATCAAATGCCAAAAAAAAAAAGAAAACAAAAAAGTAAATGGTCAAAAATTGAAGAAGCACTAGTAATTTGAATTGATTTTGTAAATAGAAGTAATCATACAATATCAGGAATTATTATAACACAAAAGGTAAAAGATTTTATAAAAAAGTTAAAAATTACAAATTTTACTGCATTTTCAGTAAATATTATATTTATTTTTTTCTTAAATACTATTAATTTTATTATATTAATAATATTTATATTTTAATTAGGGATGGCTATCAAATTTTAAAAAAAAAATAATATTAAAGAACATTATAAAGCAGGAGAAGCAAGTGCTCTTATTGAAGATTTGCCAGCATTTAGATCTGAATTACAAGTTTTGATTTCACAATATGAATTGGATGATGTATATAATGCTGATGAAACAGGACTCTATTGGAAATTAGAACCTAATAAATCACTTGTTACTGGACCTATAACTAAAACTAAAAAATCAAAAGATAGAGTAACAATAATACTTACATGTAATGCAACAGGTACTCACAAATTGTCACCTGTGTTTATTCACAAATATAAAATGTCACATTGTCTTAGAAATATAGATAAAGTATCACTTCCTGTTAAGTATTATTGGAATAATTCTACTTGGATGCAAAAATCAATATTTCAATGATGGATAAAACAATTCAATCAAGAAATGCAACTTCAAAAAAGAAAAATTTTGCTTTTAATTGATAATGCATCATCTCATAAATTAGAAGAAAATGAAATATTAAGTAATATTACTTTACATTTTCTTCCACCAAATACAACTTCACATATTCAACCAATTGATCAAGGCATTATTCATTCATTCAAAGTATATATTTATTATTAAAATTTTGTATTTATATTAATTTTTCAAATAAATTAATTATTTATTTTGATTTATTAGGCTCATTACCAAAAATTACTTTGTAAAGATAGAATTGATGTATTTGATGCATATAATGATTTTGGTACTGAAATTCCTCTTTTAAATACATTTAATGCAATAACTTGGACTGCAGAAGTGTGGGATAATGTAACTGATGATATTATTTATCGAAGTTGGGCAAGAACAGGTATTTTACCAGAAGAAAATTTAGATGAATTTGAAAATGAAATAGATAATAATACAAATGAAAATATAGAAAGATCATTACAATTGTTAATTAATCAAATAGATAAATATACAAACAATATTATAGCTAAAGATTATATTAATATTGATTCTTGTTTAGAAACAACAGGAATTCCTAATGGTAATGAAATTATTTCAAGTATTCTTGAAGTCCAGAAGTTGAAGAAGAAATCAATGATGCAATTTCACCAGTTTCACATAAAACAGTATTAGAAAGTATTGAAAATATATATAATTATTTACAACAACAACGAAATTTAAATATTAAACATTCATTTATAGTAAATTTAAAAGATTTACAGCATCAAATTCGTCTAAATCAAATTTCATTATCAAAACAATGAATGTTTTAAATTTTTTTTAATGTAATCATTTAATAAAAATAAAATTCTTATGGTTTAATTACAATAAAATTAAATAAAATTTTAATTTTTAATAATAATATATCAATTTATATAACTTTTAATAAATTGATCAATTGACTATTAATTACATCAGGAATTATATAAAGGCGTTCTAGAACGATCCGTTTTACATGTTACGAACGTTACATTCTAGAACAATCCGTTCTACAACGTAATAACTCCGCGAATATCGAAGCTATTGGAATGAAACACATATCATTTTGTAGCCAAGAACAAGGTTTTTCTTTCTATCTTAGAAATATCTTAGTAGAAAATCGTTCCACTCTTTATAAATCGCGAGCGAAGCTGAAAAAACGTGAAAATCTCCAGAAATTTTTACGTTTTTTTCTACTTCGCTCGCGATTTATAAAGAGTAGAACGATTTTCTACTAAGGTATTTCTAAGATAAAAAGAAAGGCCTTGTTCTTGGCTACAAAATGATATGTGTTTCATTCCGATAGCTTCGATAATCGCAGAGTTATTCTAAATTAAAGAAAAACGTCAGTAAAAAAATCGTACATCAAAATTTTTTGCAAGATTTTTTACGCACGTTTTTCTTTAATTTAGAATAACTCTGTGAATATCGAAGCTATCGGAATGAAACACATATAATTTTGTAGATAAGAACAAGGCCTTTCTTTTTATATTAGAAATATCTTAGTAGAAAATCGTTCTACTCTTTATAAATCGCGAGCGAAGCTGAAAAAACGTGAAAATCTCCGGAAATTTTTACTTTTTTTCGACT